GTATGTTTAGTTTAGTAACTTAGCTGGTGAAATTCATGCTGCAATGAAATGTTAAATAAAATGCTATTATAAGTACTGAAGCTGGAGCTAAACCCAAATTTGTAATGTTTTGTTTTATTTATTTTATTCTTTATTTACAGGTAACGTTATGTACCAGAACGTAATGTAACGTAACGTAACATAATCTAATGTAACGTAACATTTTAATMAAGCTTAAGTTTGTGAATTTTTACAATACCTCCCATAAAAAGATGTGTGAATACATATTCCAGCTGAAAGAATGTGATATAAAACATAACACATGGTAACGCAACAGAGCGTGGTCAAACATACTTTATGCAAAGACAAGACTGTCACTGCCCATACACGGTGTGATGAGTGGGCTGCAACCCTTCAGCTCAGACACAGTTTGTTTGTTGCCACACACCTGAATGCAGTTATTGGATGTACATTTACACTGATTGCTTGTCGCTGTAGATAAAACACCTTAGCAAACCATAAAAAATGAGGAAAGTTAAGTGATTTTTTTAACTGATCTTGAGGTAACGGTGGTGTGATTCTCAACACATTTGACGAGAGCTGACAGATTGTGCTAGATCCACTCTGGCAAMCAATAATTATTCCTTCAAGTAATGATTTTTTTTAATTGCTAGTTGTTCATCTGGTTTTTATTTTTTTTCTAACTTGGAAGAACTTTTGAGGATCAAAAAACATCTTCATGTAAAAACAGGAATAAATTGAAAGAGGAGTCACCTATACTTTATTGTATGTACATTGCATACCATTAAATTATGCTACCTTGGGTTTTAGACTTTTAAAAACGCAGGTAAAGTAACCACATTGTACTTTTCTGCTGAACAGTTACCCCAACTGATTTCTGAGTGGTGTCAGTTCTTTTTTCCTGCAGGTGACACTCCTACGTGTTATTAGAGCTCTTCTGGCATGCTCAGGAAGTGCTTATTAGAAACTCCTGAAGAGAAACTTTGATTTTTACAGTTGACAGATTTATGTCAGCCTGCAGCAGCTCAAACTTTCCCTAAAAGTCTCCAGAGGCAGAGACATGAGCTCTAAAAACAGCACCAGGCGTTCAGCTTTGACACTTGGATACAATGTGCTGCACATTTCAGCTGCCCATCAGCTGTTATTTTATATACCTGCAAATGAAGCTGGCTTTATTTCTCTCTAGCTGGTACCAAGATTTAAAAAAAATGAAATGCACAATTAGGTTTTTAATGATACATTTTCTTACCCCCAGCTTAGCAGTTTTGAATGACTTTGCTGCTTTTTTGAGGTTCATCACTTTCAAAAGCCTCGGTTTGAATAAATCTCAGCAAGTAGCAAAAATGATCCATGTTAGCCAGGCTAAATAAAATCTTTTAAAGGGAAATTATATTTTTTGACAAATTGACATGAAAATAAAATAAAATAAATGAATGAATAAATAAATAAGATGAAATAAAAATATAAAACTCAGTACAGTTTACCATTGAGCCAGTACTGAAGGAATTTACTGACCAACTATTGTACACCTAACATCAGTTAGTGCTCAGACTGTGCTAGGTGAACCTACTTTAAGTTGTCAATTGCAGGTGAGGTGAGGTTAGAGTCCTCTTTAGGCAGTGGGTATTTGATTTGCTGCATGACACATCATTATGAGTTATGTAAGATGCAGGTTAGTCACATTCTATTTGCCTGGCTCAGCTTCTATGAGAGATGGGATTAGTTAAGCAGTGAGTCTGCAGCTTCTGTCTCAGTCTGACTTGATGTTTGCTCTTTGGCTGCACAGTAATCTGAAAGCTGAGTCGCGGGATGTGCAAATTAAGAATTAGCGCAAAGCTCTGAGCAGTCGCATGCTGACATCTCTATCTGTCTTATTAAATCTCCTAATCTCCCAGCAAGGATCTCTAATGCCAATCTTCTAGGCTGGGCAGGACAATATTTATGCATCAGTTGCTATTTTTTGGGTAAACATTCTGATTTTATTCAATGATCTGAGATTCTTGGACATTGAGAATTTTTTTTTTTTCTGAAACTTACCACTCAGCTGGAGAAAGAAGTCGAGTTTTGTACAAAAAAGAAGAGGTTTGAATTTTGAGAAATTTGAAATGAAACCAAATGTGAAATTTACATATTTTAAATACAAATATACAGCATATACAGAATCTGAAATGTGAGTCCAAGGGAAATTTTATGTGGAATACATCACTTTTCATAGGGAGGGGSTCACTCTGCTAAGGTATTTGCTGTACTTTAGAGGTAGGAAGTCAAAACTGCTGTGCGTATACTCMTTTGCTTTCTTAACAGCAATATCTCTTCTGCAACTGACGTCAAAAAGAAAATAACAAGTCGAGTTTTACCAGTGCATTGTTCGATGTTTTATATTCCCACAAAGGAAAATGACTGTTTGGCATGTTTTGCTTTGATTTGCTTTGTGACTGAATACAGTTAATGGTTCTGCTATTACAATATTAATCGCTGATTGAAATGTGATTTTATAGGAAACACTTCTTGTCCGTAAGGCTCTTAAAATTTTCTCAGAACTCTAAACAGGGAGTACAGACGTGGGTTTATGATGCCAAGATGTAATTGAAGAGTTATGATTTGATTGTGACTGACGTTTTAAAAAGGGTCTGTTGGGTTTTGCTTGTCTAATCTGTGTATTATCCACATTAAACAGCACTCACRACTTCTCCCGTTAGCAAAATCAAGAACAGACAGACACCGCTGAACAACAAATAGAAAAGCAACAGCAGAGACTTATTTAAGATAATAACAATGTGGTTTGCTGTCTCGAAAAGCTTCTTGTTGCTGAAAATAAGAGTGATGAGTTTTTTCTTGTCCTAAGTATCTCATGAAAATGCAATAATTTAAAAAACCTGAGCCGTCTTTTTAGAACAAGTATGTTCATCCCTTCCATTGCTTAAAAAATCCTGTTTATGCCATCGGATGCCTCCTTGAGCAGAACCTGTGTAAGTGTCAATCTTATAGAGCAATCTGGTTCATTCAGCATGTTTTACTTTTGGACAAGCTGAGTAAACAGAGGATGGTTTGCATAGACAAAACTATTAAATTATTAATATCAACTGCCAAACATGGACATCTCTAATTGCACTGTAATGTYTAAATCCTTTAATTTTATTTAAACTACTTTGGAGTTATCCATCTGTCTTGTCCTTTGTCTGCTGCAAATGGCTAATGCTGGCTAATCAACTGGACATTGTGGAGGTCAAGAAACAACAGAAGAAAGGAGTAGCGATACCATACGTAGCAATCCCCAAGGGATTAAAGGGGCATGAGGAGCTTGAGAAACACCAAAGACTGAACGAGAAAATAGAGACGTGGTGAGGGGTTTAGGCCTGAGTTGTGTCAGTGGTCCCCAAACTGGATGAGTGGCTCCAACATATCCCATGAACAACCTCCCASACCTCTGCACAGAAGAGCTCAGTCCTCAGATCAACTAAGATACTGCACAGAACCTTCAAGTTCCCAGGCCTCTGGTGAATGACCCAAACGTGAAGTGAAATGAAATCGCTCATGAGGGGGAAACAGTGGGGCCAGCAGAGTGTTTTTTGTTGTTTTCATTTTTGTTTCCAAGTTTTCATTTTTGACTTCCAATTAAACCAAGGCACCTTCACACAAAATTACGTAGTTGTGTTTTGTCTAAGTTTTTGAACTGGTCYTCAGTTCAGTGGCCAGAAAATTTAATTTGTTTCATATTGTGTGAGTACAATTTCAGAAACTGTCTTAGGGTTCCATAAAAACATTTTTATTCTTTTTATTCCAAATTTGTAAAGTGCACAGTAAGCTTTACACCCAACTGTACTTATGTGCTTTGTTGAGATACTGCTTTAATAAATAAATCTTTATTTCTCTCATTACTATAATATTTAGTACTGATGTCATCTAAACTTTATGGAAATGACATGTTTTAGTTTTAAATTATTGTATTATTGTCCAACAGTAGAATGTTCCTCATTCCTGTCACAGCTGAAGTGCTTCAGCTTTATCCACTTGACACATCTGTGAGTTCCAGACATTGATGGTATTCCTGTCATTCATCACTTGACTCTTTTTTGTCTTTGGTCCCCCAGTACATACTCCAGTATTTTTATGTTTTCAGTCTGATTCTGCAGAACCTGTTTGGTGTTTGACATCCTCAGTCCTTTAGGGTYGCATATTTTTTGGCATTTTTTTCTCTCTTTTTGACAGGCTGACTTTTGATTACCACTCGATGAACTCATTTTGCCTGTTGTCTTTTCCAACCATTTTATTTCTTCCCCATACCATAATACTACTTTTGAGCTTTGACTTATCACCCACTGTTTAATTAAGCTACCAAGCTAATAACGCTGACAGACACTCGCTGAAAACCAGATCATGAATATTTTAAAAACTAAAAAAAAAAAAACAATAAATAAATAAAAAACACCGTTGCCTTATGGAAGAACTGAGCTACAGGCAAGGCTAGCGAAAGGGTGGATGAGATCACAGATCTGGTTGAGGCAGAGATGTTCTCTCTGCTTGACATTGTGATAGCTGTCAAAGAGGATTGCTGTCAAATTCTGTGAGCTTCTTGCTCTTGTGGTGAGCGAACGTCATTAACATACAACACCTTTGTAATTTACCTTTTATTATAAAAACAATAAACCTTCATCTCAGCTGCTGTTGCAAGTTATCAATAAATCTATTTGTGTCATAGAGATGAAATGTGTTACTTTGATCACAATAAATTCAGTAAAAATAAACATTATCAGAGGTGGTTAACAATAACAATGGTAAGGTGTGCCTTATCTTACTCAAAATATATCACTTATTATTTGTTTATATGATGGAACACAGCCATGGGAACAGAAGTCTATGCGTGTGTGTGTTTCTGTGTGGATGCATGTGTGTGTGTGTGTGTGTGTGTGTGTGTGTGTGTGTGTGTGTGTGTGTATAGGAATGAGTTGACATTAGACTAGCACATGTTTTGAACATTAGTTCTGNTGTGTGTGTGTGTGTGTGTGTGTGTGTGTGTGTGTGTGTGTATAGGAATGAGTTGACATTAGACTAGCACATGTTTTGAACATTAGTTCTGTATACTGAGGAGGTCTGACATGGCTGCAGAAATATATGTCAGTGACTGACATGTCATGCTGATAAAAACCTCTGTTTCCAAAAGAAAAAAAAAAAAGAAATAAGAAAAACACAGAGGTCACATAGATTCAAGACGACAAATGTAAACGTCTACTTTTAGATGGACAGCAAACTCACAGTGCAGTGACGAGTGTGCGCTGATGGACTCACACAGGATGTGATGTAAAGAAATGAGAGAATGTGTGAAGCAGAGCATAGGCAGCGCTCCCCGTCAGTAATGATGCTATATTCTCTTTTATTCTTTGTAGTCTCTTTTCTTTTGTCCACATTCTGAACAGTCAACAGTCATGCTGCTCATATCAGTGAAGTATCCTCAAATGTATCCGCTCCCATCCGTCCGTCTGCAGACTGCGTGGCATGGCTTTCACTCCCTGCTGTGGTGTGTTGCAACGGCATAAATAGATTTAATTGTGATCGTCTCTTCCCGCTGCTTTGGGTCTGTTTGGTATAGGAAGTGATAAGTTGGTAGCTGACATAAATTTATTGAAGTCTCTTCAGTGGGCCAACAGTAAAGGGAGGAATTTATGCAGGAACAGAAGAGTGATGAAGAGAAGAGGGTCCATCGTGCTCATCATGCTGCAGTCTGAATGAGAGGTAAAGACAGAAAGAAAATTAGTGGAATAATGTTAAAACACAATATAGTCACACTTTGAGTTATCTACCAGCAGGAACTGGGCTTGTATTTACTGCATATGTCCAATTCAATCCAATTCAAATTCAAAAATACTTCACTGATCCCAGAGGAAAATTAGGTAATAGATGATAGAGGAAGAAGCTGAAATTAGAATGTGAAGAAATCAAACTCTATGTTAAACATTCTGTTGTAAGATCTTCAAAGTCCAACTTTCCGTGACCCACTTAAAATCTAATATATGTACTGTCATGTATGTCTGACATAAAGAGCTCCAAAGAAAGTCTGGTTTTCTCCTTCATTTTGCTAAAATTCCCTTGTTGTGAAAGTGAAAATCTTTCACCATTTTGTTTTTGCTGTTTGATGTACTGCAACCAAAATTCATAGCATATTATTTCTGATCTAAACACAGGTAAGTAGTAAATGGACTGTACTTGTATTGCACTTTTCTATCCAACCAGGGTACTCAAAGGTCTTCACACAACAAGCTCTGCTCTCCTTTACCTGTTCAAACAACAAAGCTAATCCAAACAGAGCATTCTGTGGAGACTAATCAGTGCTTTAAACCACAAACACTGATGAGACACATCAGGGGCAGTGGGGGTTCAGTGTCTTGCCCAAGGACACTTTGGCATGTGACTAGCTGCGTTTCCATTACAAATGTGCGCAAAACTTTGTCGATATTCTGTTAATGTCGAAAAACACAGTTTTGCAACTGCAGTGTCTCCATTAAGTAAGAAATGCTATTAAAGTCATGGGTGAATACGTTTGTTCTCACAATAAGTCATTACAAACATGGCGGCGATGGATGTAAACACATAGCATGTTGCTACTGCGACACTAACGTTCATCATCAGAGGAGACGTCGGCGTCTTTTATCGAGGATTTCCAGCGACAAGCCCCTACTTGGGAGCAGCTGCGAATGCTTTGTTTTTGGGAAATTATATTCAGTGAGTTTACTACTTTCTTTTAAAACTTCTGTGATATTACTACCACTTCTACTTCCTGTTATCTTCTTCGTCGTCATCTTTTTCACCAGTAGAAACAGCCGGTAGTTGATCCCGTGACTCCCGTGATGAGAAAAAAGAGCTTCCATTGCAGTTTTGTGAAAAACGCCAATTTTGATATGGCCGAAAAACCACCTCTTCCTGGTGCAAAAACATTTTGTCAAAAAACATATATATATGTATGTATATTTTAAATTGACATGTTTCCATTGAACAAATTTATTTTCAAAATTCTAATTTGCATATTTTCATGGTCAATGGAAATGCAGCTACTGAATAGTGGAGGAATCAAACCACCGACTCTCTCATTGGAGGTCGACTCATTAACCACTCAGCCACAACTGAGCTGTCTTCATGTATTTTTTTAGCATGCATTTTTTTCCAACATGCAAGGCCAAAAGCAAATCAAAAATCATGGAGGCAACAGAATAATAAAGGGCTTATAGTAAATTAGATATTTTACGAGTTCACTAATGTTATGTGTTTGTTAAGTAAGTYGGAGCTTCTTTACTGTAGTTTATTTTATTTTTTCCACATTCTGAAGAGTCACCAAAAGTTCAATAGTTTCTTTTTTGTGGTAATCAGCTTTAAAGTACCTGTGGCACTTTCATTTTATTATTTTTTAGGAAACACTAATGCATTTTTGTAAAAAATAACATTAACAACATATTGCTGAGATGAACAGTTGTTGAGATATTTGCATGTGAAGTAACAGGAAGTGATGACAAAGGGGAATGTCTGCATGTGAACAGAGCGCTGCTACAGCTAACCACACAGACTGTTGGGATCTAGAGTTTGTCAGTTCCAGTATTCATCCACTAGATGTCCTCCTGGAGCACAGCCTGCAGGAGGGCAGAATCTCTAGCAGGTGTGCAAGCCCCACACCTGCAATTCATCTACCTTCATTAAGAGGAGGATAAGAGGAGTCTGCAGTCAGCCCTTTGATGCCTGACTGTTAATTCTTGTGGRAACCTGTCTGCCCTCCAACCTGCTCATCATTCCTTGGCGGCTCACGGACTCGACCCCTTGGATCCCACTCACCTCTCCCTGGCTGACCTGCTTCATCTTCATAGTAAGCTKAGCTCCTATTCTTCTGTGTTTACTATACTGTATACACCTTCCTGGTCTCATCACCTTTCATCCTCCACCAGTGTTCCTGACCCCCTGCCCTGCGTCTACAGGACCACGTTGGACCAAGATCACTTTCATTTAAAATGAACATCTTAAAACTTTGTTGCTTCCTGGAGTGTTTGCATGTGGGTCAAGAAACTTTCTAAAACCATGACACAGACATTAGTGAATAATCTGATGTTCCTTTATAGTTTGAGTCACTATCAGAAAGCAATGATAAAGCGTCAGAATTCAAATATTATGTTTCAATAAACAAAGACCATGAATTTTATTTCCATAAAGCGTTCCTTTGATATCACTACTTGTCCATTTGGTAGAACCAAGTTCAAAAGAYAAGATGTCAGTTATGTGATAAAATGGAGTTTCTTAAATATAATTGATTTCTTTGCATTTTTGTATTTGAAGGAAATGCACATCATAGACACTTTAAGGAATAAATTACACAGAAGATAAATGCACTTTTTAAATTTGAATTGAAACAATAGTTATGACAAATTAGGAAAAAACTGGAGTATTTTTCWTCAAGGGTATAAGTAAAATATCATTGCAGATGTTAAGGTAATTACACAAAGAATCAGACTTTTGCTTTGGGGATAAAGGGCCAAGATTATGATTTCCTGTGTGTTTGAACTTATCAAATGTGGATAACTTTAATTTCTGTATTTGTTTTTAAGGCAAGATTGAAAGCTGGGGACAGCCATTTGTTGAGGAATGGGTGCAACAAAAATCAGTGGATGCTTGCTGGACTGATTTTTGCACAGAGGCACGGTGACATGCAGTTGAATATTGCAGCCAACATAAGCCTAATTTTTCACTTGGTGATTGTACATAGTTTCAAAAGCGGCAGCTGGAATTTCATGATGCATGCTGGGATAGCTTCTCCTATGGCACTGATATTTGTTACATTAGGCCTGCCAAAGGTTATTCAGAAAGGAACAATGTTTAAAACTCTACTCGTTATGTAACCTAGATATGGAAAGTGGCAGTTTTTGAGCCAGTTTTCATTATTTGAAAACAAGCTAAATGTAATACAATAAGTAAAACAAGGCACAGTGGCACTTTTTCACAGAGTTTTGGCTCTCAATGGACCTGATGAAGATAAAACTGAATCATTATTTGTGGATGTTGGTGTAGGAAAAAAATGTGAAGATTTTGGTATGAATAATCACAAAGGTCACTTTGAATAATCCCTGAATAAACGGTGAATGCTCTAACTTTCTATAGTGCTTTGTCAAGTCCCTCTGGACTCCAACACTTGAGTCATTCACCCATTCACACACTGATGGTGGTAAGCTACATTGTAGCCACAGCTGCCCTGGGGCACATGGACAGAGGCAGGGCTGCCACGTACCGGATCCCCTGACCACCACCAGCAGGCAAGACGGGTGAAGTGTCTTGCCCAAGGACACAATGACTGAGACGGCTGACACAAGTGATTGAACCGGCAACCTCAAGTATGTGTAGTGTCTGCTGAAAATAGTCCATACACTATCACCATTTTCTTCCTCATCTGCCATGTTTATTTACTCTGAACTCTCTTTGATCTCGAGAGGTCTCGCAAGATTTCCTGTCTGACATCTGAATTTTGGTGAGTGAAATCTGTTTGTGTGTGATGRGTTGTCTATGCCATGTGACTGTACACCACACACTGTTGGACCAAACTTGTTATATCAAAGATTTTTTTTAATTATGTGTGGGCTCTCTCCATCTTTGAAAATCAGTTAACAATTTTAAAATCTTGCCGCGTGAAGCAGGCATAAGAAAAAAAAACATTTAGCTGATTAATAAAGGTTATGCACAAATGGCAGATTCATTAGCATACTAATGGGTTTCTGACAAAACAAACTTATCATTATTAATGTAAAATTTAAGCATAAAGTTTGGCACTGTTTTATGTCTATAAAAAACACAATTTTAGGTTAACTTTTTTTAATCAAGTGGATGAAAAATTGTTTGCAGAAGATTTAATTAAAAAAACTACAGAATCATGTTGGCACCATCATGTGGATCAGTAAACCATGGCTGCTGAAGTCTGGGGAGCTCTGCAACTTTAAATATGAAACATTCACATCTAAAGAGGCAAAAATAGAAGATCCACACAAAGACAGACAATCTTGCATCTTGAAAAATCCCCCACTGACCTGCTGCAATGGACTACAACTTGCGTATGAGTTCATAAACAAAACGTCTCAAAGCTTGGAACTCTGTCCTTTTAATTTGAATGGAAAACAAGCTTCTCAGACAAGAAACTAAATGTTTTTAATAAACAGAAAATAAGTCCAAACACACTGGAGAAGAGTTGATGTTGGTTCTGTCATTTAGCCTCATGATTAAAACTGTGTGTGTGTGTGTGTGTGTGTGTGTGTGTGTGTGTGTGTGTGTGTGTGTGTGTGTGTGT